GCTAAACAATTTCTGATGCATCCCAAATTATTCAAAGTACTTTGTTTGCATGGCTAGCGATGTGCAAAATTGTATTATGTGGTGTGAGAAAAATATATCAATATGTATGCTAAATCAATTAGTGTTCGATATCGAATAAATAATCCCAAAGTAACTGGTTAAGAGACTCTAAGTAAGAGTGTCTTGCACACACAAGATACTTCAAATCCGTGATACGTTAGATCAGCGAAGATTCGACCATCAATGCCTAGTAAAATATATACTTTTTTTATATATGATAATTATGATTACATGAGAAGATTCCGGCCCATAATAAAATAAAATTTCGCGAAATTTTCTGAATAATTTTGTCAGATTCCCCGGGAAAAAAAAAACAATTACAGATAACCCGGGATTTTATTTTTAATTTCTTTTTTTGTTTCCTTCTTCGATAATAAAGACAGATACCTAAAAAACTACTACGACGTCGTATTTACGTCACGCAAAGAAGAAGCACCTTCTTCTTGGTTCTGGTCCGTTAATAAACCGGCCACGGTCTCCTCCGGTTTGTCCACAATCTCCATAAGGAAAGGCCTCACTGTATGTAACCATATATCTCGTCCAGATGCACCGGCTCGCTGTCGTTTCCGAACCTCGATCACAACCAGCTCGTCGGTTAGCTGGTTTATCTCAACCACCATTGCAAAATTACCTTTTTGCCCTTCTATTTTCATCCCCCACTCTTCCTTCTTCGCCACCGTCAGATTCTCCGCCGCTACAATCTCCTCCAGCTTCTCCACCACTCTCTCCGCCGTCCACGCCGACACGAACCTCTCCACTCGGTCGTATTTTCTCGCGTCGCCGAACAGACCGGAGAGATTGAACCCTGGAGATCCCGATATGATGTCGAACGCGTTCATCCTCCTGGCTCCCATCTCGCCGTCGATTTCGTTCGCCGGAAGTTTCATGTCGGAGTCCTCGAGGTGGAATTTGGACATCTTGTCGTCGTAGCCCTGTCTAAACCACGGATCGTGAATAATCTCTTCGATTGTGATCCTCGACTGCGGATTCGTGTCGAGAAGCCGAGTCAAAAGTTGCCGGAGCTCCGGCGAGGTCCACTTAGGGATCCGAAACTCCCCTTTGTAGATCTTCCGGTACATGACCATGAGGTTATGGTCATTAAAAGGGAGATAACCGGCGTTGAGAACAAACAGTATGATTCCACATGACCAAACATCGATTTTAGCACCGTCGTAGCCTTTCTTCGCTAAAACCTCCGGCGCCACGTAAGCCGGAGTACCACAGAGGGTGTGAAGAAGACCGTCGGGTCGGATCTGATCGGTTAGAGCACTGAGTCCGAAATCAGAGATTTTCAAATCAAGCTTCTCGTCGAGGAGGAGATTCTCCGGTTTAAGATCACGGTGAAAAACGCCGCGTGAGTGACAGTATCCAACGGCTGAGATCAGCTGCTGAAAATATCGACGGCTGAGATCTTCGCAGAATCTTCCTTTGGAGACTTTTGCGAAAAGCTCTCCTCCTTTAGCGAACTCCATGACGAAGAAGATCTTTGATTTGGTGGCGAGGACTTCGATGAGGCGCACGATAAAAGGGTGACGCAGCCGGTGCATGATAGCAATCTCTCTCTTGATATTGTCGTCCAGACCACTTTTGTGTAACCGTTGCTTGCTCACGACTTTTATCGCAACGCTCTGATTCGTACGCGTGTCCCTCCCATGGTACACCTTCGCGAAAGCTCCGCATCCGACCAATTTTCCAACCTCGTACTTTCCGAACAGCGATCCACGGCGGTTCTCCGCCGCCGGGAATTCCTCTGCGCCGGAGTTTACCATTCAGATCTTTAATTCCGGTACCCAAAAACTGAATTCTGCGTAGCCATTGTGGATTGAACCCAGAAATAATCAACAAAAGTCAGAGAGAGAGTGGTATAAATAGAATCGAAGGAGAAAATTCTGATTTAAATTTAAAGATACGAACAAACAAATGTAACTGGCGTTTAGGAATCTGTTAAAACTTTAGAGCTGTCCTGTAGATTTAGGTTTTTGGATAAGAGATAAAGCTCTGTATCGAGTTGTTACATATATATTGGTGTCTTGAGCTAGGAGACGAGGGTATTTGTGTAAAATCTTACTCTATTTTTATTTTATTTTTCCGTATATGACGTGGGAGATTTTCTGTTTTGTTTTTATTGGTTTTTAATAAGATGTGGATGTTAAGGTGAATCACAGCCATACACGTGTCTCGTCACTGTTGCCGTGTTGATTTCGTATCTCCGAGTGTTCCGGCCGCATGATATATATTTTACATACTCGTATCTTCGTCTACTGTTATTAAATGTTTCAATATTGTTGAATAGTATAAAATTTTGTCAAACGATTAAACTTTTCTTTGAATTATATATACCGACGCATTTTTTTCTTTTCTTTAAATAGTCTCATTTTCTGGGATTTCAAAAAGAAAAAAAAAAATTATTACCAACATTAACATATATGTTTGCGGTTGGAAATAGTCATACTGTTATACCAAATTTAACCATGGATGTTTGGTTCTAAGATACACAATGCTTTTGGAAATTTATGTATTTATAAGTTTACTTACATTTATTTAAATGTATATAGAAGTTAATAGGTACTTTTGGGAAATATATTTATATTTGTATATGAATTTTACAGTTGCTTTTGTGGGAAACTGTATTTTATTTTATGGAAAAAATACTATATATATTTGGAAAATATATTTCATGCTTTTGGAATAAGAAAAGTTACCAACAAGGTAATTGCTAATGTTTTTTTACTTAGCTAACCTGGAAACTCAGTATAATTGCAAAATCTGTATTGGTTCCATCATGACCACGCTAACTATGTCCAAATTCCTCCGATTTTCCAGCTTGATATATGAATCGTCACGTTTGCATTTGACTGGTTCCGTATAAACAGTGCTTTTCTAATTTAACTTATAACAAAAAAATTCGTGTGTGCCTAGTTAGAAAAAATATTAAAATATCACTTAGCCTAACGATCAATGATCTTTCTAGCCAGCGTTAAATAATGATTAAGAAAACTTGAACGATAAAAAAAAAAAATTGATAAGTTACAAGAAAAATGAAGTCGGCAGAAAAGGTGTCCGTACAAGATTATTCGGAACAGCGGACACATCTGTTTGGTTTTAACTTTTTCTTTTTGTTGGCACCGTCACGGACTCACGGTGACTGTAGGCTTTGGTGACAGATGATTTTCAGTTTC